ATGACTCTACTTCTCTGTAGTGACCAGCAGGGGGCGACTCCTCTGCTCCCATAGACGTCTATGAGGAAATGACTCTACTTCTCTTTAGTGACCAGCAGGGGGCGACTCCTCTGCTCCCATAGACGTCTATGAGGAAATGACTCTACTTCTCTGTAGTGACCAGCAGGGGGCGACTCCTCTGCTCCCATAGACGTCTATGAGGAAATGACTCTACTTCTCTGTAGTGACCAGCAGGGGGCGACTCCTCTGCTCCCATAGACGTCTATGAGGAAATGACTCTACTTCTCTGTAGTGACCAGTGGGGGGCGGGGGGAGTGTGGCATGCTGACACACATGAGGAGGTGGGACACACACCTGGGGCTCGATGGAGCGGTGCATCGGGGGGGTCCGGGCCTGCTGGATGCCGCCGCTGCTGAAGGACTCTGAGCGGGGGGGCAGCGACGGGTCCGAGATCCGGTTGGAGACTTTGTGCTGCAACGCAGGAGAAGTCTGTCTGTTCATCTTATAATGCTCCTCCACCTGACACACACACACACACACACACACACACACAGTCGGTCACTCCCAGCATGCTTTGCGCTGTGCGTAAACGTTTTTCTTTTATCTTTCATGATTTCGGCACAGATGGTTTTCAGTCTTCAGTATTCTGCCTCAATTTGAAATCACTGCAGATTAAACTTTAAATTCAGCTACTAATAAAAAATGTATTTATTATTTCTTTACTAATATTTAAAAAGGGAAAACATTTTTTTCTGTTAAAGACTTTTATATTAATAGAAGATTTTTGAGTGAATAAAAAAGAAGTCATTCAGGCCGCTGACTGAGAGGTGAGCGCGGTCGAACTTCATTGGGACATTCCTCTAGCGGGGGGGGGGGGGGGGGCATCGGGGGAGGGAACACTGGGGGAGGGGAGGGGGGGGGAGTCAGGGAAGCGTATCCCCGTGGTGGCATCGGGGCAGATTTAGCTGCCCTACATGCGACCATGAGGGGGAGGGGGGGCTGGGAACCTGCCAGGAACACTGTGCTCACCTGCATCTATGCTGATCTATTAGCAGAAGTATTGTATTTCAATATGAAGGCCTGATCTAAATTTTGTTTTAAGTTTAAACTAATTCTTCATTTCTATTATTATTATTTTATGTCATTGTGTTGAAGTTGAAAGAATAAAAAAAGCTATTTGAATTCAGTTAATTAAAGAAATAACTAACTTATTTTATTTTTATTTATCTAGTTTGACTACTTTTACTATTATTATTTACAGTATATTTTACTATACTATTACATAATACATGTATCATTTAAAATAAAATCAATTAACACTTAAAGTAGAGAATTTAAGGAAGCGAATGCAAACAAAACCTGTAATAAGAGACGTATGTTATATGAGAGATGACATGTGTATGATAGATCTCATCCCATCACACCACAACATGCAAAGAGCCGATCGCTCCAGAACCTCCACCAAGGAAACATCCCCAACATTCCTGTTATCATCTATAAATGAATCAGATCACCCAGAGTCAGTAACCTGTGCGAAGTGGAAAGTGAAGGTTAAACAAAGATGAATTGTTACGGTGGAACGAAAGAAGACAATAGATTAAAAGAAGGAGGAGGAGGAAATCATCTTTTTGGATTCTGAAAGTGAATCAACGCTCGCTGTGAGGAGGAGCGAGAGGATCCACATTATGGAGCGTTAACGCATGCGAGTCCACCTGGTTAGAGAAAGAACGGCGGGATTAAGGAGGAAATGGCTCCAGCCGCTCGCGTTAGTGAGTCAGCACAGATCAGAGAGGCGGAGGCGGGAAAGAGGCGGCGCGCCCTCCTCCCACTGACCCGCCGGTCGGGGCTCCGCCCCCTGGAGGCGGGGCTCCTGTCGGGGCTCCTGCGGAGGTCCTGCTGCCGTGATCCTGGGTTCCGGCACACAGGTGACCCGGATGCGAGGCACATGCATGTGACTCACAGGGGGCTGTCGTGGC